ATGGCGGCCAAAAACACACCCTTACAGCACCTCAGTCACATGTAAATGTGAGCACTTTCGGCGACCTAAATTGCCCACTTCTGGCGACTACCGCCACCGCGTAGCGGTGTGGAACGGGGCTAAACTAGATGGCTAGGACTCACGAGCAACAACTACGGCATCTCCTGCAGCTTCATTAATTTTATTTGCTCGTGAGTTCCAGCCATCTCGCCTAGCCCCGTTCCACGCCGCGCGTAGCGGCGTCCGAGATAATCTCGGCGGTGGCGGTAGTCGCCGGAAGTGCGCAATTTACATGTGACTGAGGCCCTGTCAGGGTGTGTTTTTGGCCGCCATAATATGTGCCCGTTGTTCGGAGGATAGCCAAGTTTAGATATATTCTGCACTCACTTCTCTTTAATTTGATAAATTATCTGTCCTTATACCGCTAATAATTTTTCTTCAGCAACGTGTTAGCTTTGTCATGGTGCAATAAAGAAATTCCGCTCAAAATTAAAGCTGTCCATTCCCCAGCAAAAAATGTCGTCCTGAAAGATTTTTAGGAAATAAATATTTAGTATATATTCTCTGTATAAGACGACGCCCAATGTGAAGTTTAAAAAAAATGTAGGAAGACATATTGTCTTATACACGGGAAGTACGGTAATTTTGGCTGATTCCTGACTGACTGACACTCAGCCCACACCAGGAGGGCACGACCAGCGACAAACAACCGGTGACACAAGCTGCCACCATTCGGATGAGAATCACCTGGACACAGGTCCCAGAAACCCCCGTGCAACCGTTAGGTTATATTAAGACCCCCGGCAACAGCCGAGAAGAGGCTTTAAATTACCCGCCCCCTTCCCCCCCCCCCCCGCCCCATACTGGGACGGATGCTTTAACATCTAATTCTTTTAAAGTCGGAATACATCTGCCCGAAAGGAGATCAACCAACAGCCTGCATACATATAAGCCATATCAGTAAAAATCCACGTGCACGCAAAACGAAAGTTCTGGAAAAGGCTAAAATTAAGAAGTGGACCATTAACCAGGACTTGTCGTCACAGTTTGCAATTGTTGAACGCTACAAAGAAGAAGAAAAGTAGACATAACAATTGACAGTCGTGAACATCAGATAGACATGGTTGATATTTAAAAAAGAAAGAAAGAAAGACATAAAATAAGAAAAACAAAGAACGAAAGAGAGAAATAAATAAATAAATGAAGACACAAAGAGGGGGTAAATCATAATACAGACGGTGCAAAGAGATTGGCATTATTATTATTTTTTTTTTTTTCAAGTATTCGGAGACCACGAGTACCGTAACGACTGACTGACTTTCTACCCCGCCAGGACATCACACAAGCGATAAACACCCGATGACACAATGTGCCACCATGTGGATGAGGATCACCGTGGAGAGGTTCCAGAAACCGCGTTCAGCCATTAGACCATATTTATGGCCGGGCTATATTGCGGCCCCTGGAAAGAGCCAGAGTAGGGCTTCAAAAAACGAAAAAGTGCATCCTAAAAAGGACGGCAAGAATAGTTAATATGAGTACCGTAACATTTTTCTGTCACATTAAATGACACAACGCTCTTATAAAAACCACAACACAAGATACACAATTTGAATGCGAGCAAGCAAGAGGTAGACATCGATAGAAGTGGGACGATACGAATTATTTCGTCCTTTCTAAATGGCTTTCTCCCCCCCCCCCCCCCCCCCTGTTTTTCAATAATAAGCCAGGTCAATATATGCCTGTTGTCACAGATTGTCAGTGAGACTGATTACCTGGCACCGTTTCAAACTATGTCGGGAAGTTTCAAGTTGGATCTCAGCTTGGGCAAACACACAAGGGCTATAATCACATACACTTCTGAGTTACCTCCCAATATCACAGTCACCTCCCCTACAGGACGCCGCTACTGCTACTTGTATCCGGAATATTTCAACGACCCGATTCTAAAGAGAGTGAAGCTTTCCATACCATTTCTTGCTGAGGTATGTATGTGTGTCACCACAAATTATCGCACAAAAACGCGCACACACGCACAAACGCGCGCACACCACACGCACACATTCGCACACAAAAATTAGGACACACACACATACACAAATTATGACACACACACTCACGCACGCAAACACACACATACCGCACGCACGCAAGCATACTATTAAAAACTGGCACAATTATATCAGCTATCGCCTTGTGAGATGCACTTTTGTATTATTCGAAGCCCTACTCTTTTAATTAGCCAGCTCTTGCCAGGGACCGCAATATGGCCCGAACATAAGTATGGTCTAATGGCTGAACGGAGTTTCTGGGACCTCTCCACGGGTGATCCTCATCCACATAGTGGCACTTTGTGTCATCGTGTGTTTATCGCTTGTGTGATGTCCTAGTGGGGTAAAAATCTACTACTACTAATACCTTTGAAACATGTCAAATGGTTAGAAAACAAATTATCCATAACACATACAATAACTTTCCCACTGTCATTTTCGGATGGGGGTCATTCTTGTTGTTTTAAAGCTGCCTCCCCCCTCCTTCCTCCCCTCCCGGCTGTCGTAGGGGGTCCTAAATATAACCTACAGGTTGAACGCGGTTTTTGGGACTTGCGCTCGGATTATGCTCATCCGAATATTGGCACTTTGTGTCACTGGGTGTTTGCGGCTCCTCGTGCGGTCCTGGGGATGGGAGTGGGGAAAGGATTGGGGGGGAGGGGGGGGGGGGGACGTCAGTCAGTCGAAGAGGGTTACTATTTCTTCTTCTTCTTCTTCCGCCTGCTGTCTGCAATTGAAGCATACCCCCTCACTTAACTGACGCCAAGTCGTACTATCGCTTGCTATTCCACAGTTCACGTCATGTCTTCTTCCTCTTTTCAACATCACTCTTTAGTTCACTTCCCCGTGTTATTGTGAGTTCTTATGTGTTCCAGTTTAAAACCCTTGTAGTTATATTGTTCTCAGGCTTTCTCAGCGTGAGTCCTATCCAACACCAGCCTCTTTCCTTCATCTCTTGATTCACGTGAACTTGTTTAGTTCTCTGCCAAATCTGAATATTACTGATTCTGTGGTACCATTTATCCCGCCCGAGATTCTGAAATGCTCAATGCAAACTATCCTGCTCAAGATTCTGGCGAAAACACTGTTTTGAATAATTTTACTACTAATATGATTTCTCGCACACAGATTGGACATTGGAATTATGCCATCAAAAACAGCGAGGCTGCCTCCTCTTACGTGGTGTCTATTGTGGTGATGTCCTCGTCAAGGAATTCTACTATCCCGACTCTGAAGTTCTCTGGGGACATACTTTTGGAAAACAACACCTGGCCAATCAGATCTGTTGTCGTGGCGGAAGTGACGCGAAACGGCATGCCGGCTAAAGATTTAACGGTTAGAGGGATTGTCAGTCGACCCATGGCCGCACCGGAAATCATAGAACTCTACGACAATGGCGCAGGTGATAATTGTTCTAGAATTCGTTTCAAACGTCGTTTTCTCAAACATTAACAAATATCTCGAGAACACCTGTACGGATCAACACGAAATTGTGCATGCATCCTTAGATTCCCATGTCCTTTTGACTTTATGATTAACAATTGTACAGATGTTGCTGTTTCTTAAAGCGGCGAATGTCTTTGATCTTTGTTTGAGTAACAATTTGTGTATTCCTACAAATTAGAACAATTAGTAATTGCATACCTATGTAAATCGTTTAAAAATCCGTTCACGTGTGCAGCGATTCCGGTGATTATTTTGATAGACTATCCCCCATACAATGACACATTTTATTAACGAAAGGCTAGCTTAGAGCTGACCATTTGGAATGGTTGCAGTTTGATGTTTTGAAAAGTTGCCGTTACTCAAATATCTGTAAGCATGCTGATTGTTTGCTTTGGACCGGTGTTTGTTTTTCATATATTGCAAATGATGATGATAGTGGTGGTGGTGTTTATGATGGTGGTGGTTATGTTGATGGTGATAATTGTGATGATAAGCGTGATGATGATGGTGGTGAGGATAATGGTGATGATTGGGATGATAATGGTAACTGTGATAATGGTGATGGTGATTGTGATAATGATGGTGATTGTGATGAGAATGATGATGATGATGATTGTGGTTATGGTGATTATGATGATGGTGATTGTGAAGATGATGATGGTGGTGGTGGTTATGGTAATGATGGTGGTGATGATAATAGTGATTGTAAAGGGTGATGGTGATAGTGATTGTGATGGTGGTTTTTAGGGTGGTGATGATGATTGTGATTGTGATGATGATGGTGGTGGTGGTTATGGTGATGATGATGGTGATTGTGATGATGATGGTGTGGTGATCATGGTAATGGTGATTGTGATTATGACGATGACTGTAGTGTTGTAAAGATGCCTAGTGCTACTTCTCGTCGAGATTGCAGTTTTCCCCGTAACAATGAGTTCCAGATCATTTCCATAATTTGAATTGTTTAGGTTTGTCTGGGAAATGAAAGACTACGGGGAAAGGAACTGACGACCCCATTCCCCATATCGTGGTTTAGAATTTGTGGAGGCGTACCATTTCGGACTCCAGCTCTGTAATGTCTAGATGACGAGGTGGCCTAGTCAGACGCTAGCCTGCAGGGCGGGAGGTCTAGGGTTCAAATCTTACATGGTGGAAGATCTTTCACAATCAGCATTGGCTTCCAGATCGACACAGCTTGGAATTGGTACTAGTGGTTTCTTGGGGAGTGAGGCGGGTTTCTTTCGTAGTAAGTCACCCCCAGATGACGTCACGGGGACAGTCCAATATTGTATATGGTGGTAAGACTGGGTTTCCAGGCTTTTAACGACCCCAAAACATCTAGAAACATCAAGACCTAACCCAACTCACCTACGTCCCACGAGAGAGTGCAACGTAGGTTCCGCGACGGCATGCAGCCTAGGTCCTACGACTGAATGAAAGCCTTTCTACCACCACCTGAAATATTGGATTCTCTGTTTGAGGTAACTTATTACGAAAACAGCAAAGGCGGTCAGTGTGCTGACCATATTACACACCATGCTCTATGTGCCACTAGTTACTTACTTTCTGTAGCATTAGTGGGGCTAATATTTTACCAAGTTTAACTTATCTTGTGAGTTATAAGGAGAACAGGCACACTTACACATAAGATCATTACACCTAGAATATATGAAAACAGACACAAACAGCAAAACTTTGACCACAGAACCACAATGTAGGCCCCTAGTCATGTTATGGGCGACAACAATACACGGTTAGGGAACAAAAAACAACAACACTTGGCATATCAAACAATTTAAGCCTCTGAACTTGGCGCAGATTTACAATGAATGAAGGAAGTTCAACCTCAACAAGACAGCACAGCGAGTAATAAACACCCTTTGACACAAAGAGCAACCATTCCGGTGAGAATCACCCAGGCGCAAGTCCCAGAAACCCCGTTCAACCGTTATAGTATATTAGGGTCTCCGAAGACAGCCGTGGTCGAACTTTAAAAAAAAAAACGAAAAATTGCGTCCCATTTTGGGTCGGCAACGTAGGTTTCACAAATTAAACACACAAAAAATGCACCCAGTTATAACCGAATCTGTTCTCAGTGGGGTTGGTCAATTTGTGCCCTAACCAAATTAACAACAACGTATATTCTCAATACAGGGGCGGACGCTGTGAAGGGAGACGGCATCTACTCTCGTTTCTTCACGAGATTTTCAACATCCGGTCACTACAGCCTCAACATCGAGATGCTGGACGCTCGCGGAGAGACGATAGTGGCCAGCGGCATGTGTAAGTATCATTACATTCTCCAGAATATCCTCGTGTAAGTATCATTACATTCTCCAGAATATCCTCGTGTAAGTATCATTACATTCTCCAGAATATCCTCGTGTAAGTATCATTACATTCTCCAGAATATCCTCGTGTAAGTATCATTACATTCTCCAGGATATCCTCGTGTAAGTATCATTACTTTCTCCGGGATACCATCATAATCAGGTGTAAGTAAAGTAAAGGTATAGTTTCCACGCCTTTAGGTGTATTTGGAATACAGAACTAGACATAAACCAATCAGCACTTAGTGGGTGATGTGGTCAGCATTACGCCGGCCGCCTTTATTTTCTGGTTCACATTCGAGGAGGGTTGACCGGGGAGTCAAGGTGATTTATTAAAAAAAACAGTCCGGCTCCGTCAGGACGCGAACCAACGACCTTCTGATCTTTAGGTGGGCGTCTAACCACCAATGCCTCGGCGACTTTAATAATGCGTACCTACACAGAAAGAACCATGGGAGTTGCTCAGGCTGCCAACCTGGGACAGCTATATATATTTTATAGACAAAATGGGCGCTAATAAAAATAGTAATAATATAATATGATAAATCAGTAAAATAAATAACCGGAAGTAATATAAAATGTTTAAACACATATTGTTTAGAGAATTTCTGCAGATGGTTTAAGGGCTGCCTAGCCTGGTAACAAAATGATTGAAAGATGCCCTATTCCCCCTCCCCATACAGCTTTTATCGGACGCCCCTGCACACAATCGGAGCCCTGGCTCATAACCCGACACCCCTGCCCATAACCGGACGCCCCTGCCCATAACCGGACGCCCCTGCACATAACCCGACGCCCTGCAGACAATCCTGCGCCTAAACACAATCTGACGCCCTGGCACATAATCTGGACCAGTGGTGGCAGTTAGCCTTGACCTGTTTGACCCTCTTATCGTGAGATGGTCTGCCACGGACCGCATAAATTGTAACAGCCGTTCGTCGTGGTAACTACCTTGGGTTATCTCCACTAAGATCAGGGTTTAAAAAAAAATCTGGTTATCGAACTGTTTATTTCCAATGGACTGCTATCTAAATATTTATCGTACAATTCTTAGAAAAGGGAGAGGTAGGGGAAATCTCAATTTGGACCGCAGGCAAACCAACAAGACAGATCCCGATACCGAGTTCAACCTCAAAAGAACAATTAGGGCAAGGTAACTGCTAAATGAAAGAAGAACATTATATACAACAATGTGACGGGGACAGCAAAGTTCTTTGGTCATGTAAAGGGGTACTGGAAAATATCGCGAGGACTAGAAAGATCACTAATAGAAAAGGCAGGGGCAGACCAAGAGAAACGATAGTGGAGGGTTTATGACGGTTCCATGGAGGAATAACATTAGCGGAAGTGATCCAGAACACCAAGGACGGAGATCCACGTCAGCTGGTAAGACACTTGATGATGATGATGATGAAGACGATGATGATGATGATAATAATGTAGCTGATACACCAGCCTGATGTAACCTGAGATTCTCCTCCGGTAAGGACCAATGCAAAATGCAGCTCCGCGAGGATTTGAAGACATGACCTGTAAGCAAATTATCAAGTGTAATCAAGTCTTGTGTTTTCCATAGGAAATAACTGTGGCACAATGGTTAGGACACTTGCTTGCCGAGCAGAAGGTTATGTGTTCTTCTTTTGTGAACTCCGACAGAACAGTTCTGGTTGTTCGTCCACATATGGACTTTGGTCTTGTTCCATGAATTAAATTTTGCATGCACATCCGTTTTACACATTAGACTTATTTGTATGCAGACTGTCCGTTCCTCGCCTCTCAGATAGATACACTCCTGGTTTGGAGATACACTCCTAACTAATTTAAGTTTACGACATTCTCGTTGGATGACAGTGGGTATATCCCTCCCCACCCCCCATCCAACAATGGGGCCCTGGAATCCACACGGAGAGGCCATGTGTTCGAATTCGCAATGAAAGACTTATTCAGTAGAGCGTGAGTAGAGGTCAGGTTTGGTACTTATTAGCATGTGGACTCTTCGTTGGCTACTAATGTAGGAGACGGAGCACGTGTGGAAATGTCCCGTGTGTATTGATGTTAATATCATTCATTCATCCTGATCTATACTTAAGTGCTAATAACGTGAGATCAAACTTTATTACTTTTTCAGATTCAGAGTCGTCTCAAATAGCTACAGGATACGCCAGTAGTGTGCATATAGAGCATCCTCAACTCCCTGTATCAAGACCCACCGATTCGGTTGTAGTGGACGAATATCCGCCTATGCGTATTACAGACCTCAGGGTTCTGCATACTTGTGCGGCCAATGGGTCTGTTGTTCTAGCGTGGACTGCACCAGGGGATGATTTAGACTATGATACAGGTGAGCCGATTGGTCTCTCTAACACTCTATTAGATTAGATTGTTAACCCAGCCTAGGAATGTACTGTCCATCTATTTTTGAACTGTCTAGCTTTGAATATTTCTGGGCTGTCTTACCCCGCTTAGGTCTGTACTGTTTGTCTAGCCCTGACTACGTATGGAATGTCTAACTCCGCCTATGTCTGGACTGTTTGTCTAACCCTGACTACGTATGGACTGTCTAACTCCGCCTATGTCTGGACTGTCTAACCCTGACTACGTATGGACTGTCTAACTACGCTTATGTCTGGACTGTTTGTCTAACCCTGACTACGTATGGACTGTCTAACTCCGCCTATGTCTGGACTGTCTAACCCTGACTACGTATGGACTGTCTAACTCCGCCTATGTCTGGACTGTTTGTCTAACCCTGACTACGTATTGACTGTCTAACTCCGCCTATGTCTGGACTGTTTGTCTAACCCTGACTACGTATGGAGTGTCTAGCTCCGCCTATGTCTGGACTGTTTGTCTAACCCTGTCTACGTATTTACTGCCCTACCCCACCTATGTCTGGACTGTCGAACCCTGTCTACGTATGGACTGTCTTACATATAATCTTTAATGTATAAAGAGCAATTCAACCTAAAGCTAGCCTCACCAGCTATGGACGGTCCCTAATCCGAAACGCCGGCGGTGGTAGCTTTTACATTCACTAATCCATTTAGAGCCGTTCCCATGGATGTACCAAAGAACTCAATTCCACGTCACTGTCGTACAGCTCTAACTGAACTGCCGTCCTCACCACGCGAGACCCAGTGGCACACGCAGGGTGAGTGATCTAAGTTTGAGCTGGCAGTGTTAACGCCACCAACAATGCAGGTCAACATCAACCAACTGCTTAACAGATTCTGCATGAAAACTTTCACTACTCAAGAAACATTACCATGAACAATCTTGTCAAAACACCGTAAGGAAACACAACATCTGTAAAGCTTAACCACAACTGCTATCCTTGCTAATCGTCACTAATATACGTTAAGCGTCTCTGTCCAACAATCGTCCCGTCTAAGAGTTTTACAGAAGTCTTATACACTTGCTTTCCTGAACAACCTGCGTCCGAGACCTTTGTTCATCTCCAGCGTTAACTTCCGACACGCTGTACCTCGTGAAACTCGTCGGGCGCTTGGCTTAGCCCAACTCAGCCGACACAGTTTATTCCGTGGTCAAACTGTCCTATCTCGCTCTGAGTTTGTCTGAGGGTCAACTCGTTCACTGGTGATGATTTACTATCATCACACCTAATCATCCCGTAACCGAACTGGCCTCTAAGTAACCATGAGTAGTGAGCCCTTTGGCTCGGTACTATGGATATCGCAACCCTTCAGCCTTGATTCCATGATAGATACCGTAAATCTTGGAAAAATGTTGCTTTTCTGCAACTCTTGGACCACAAGGAGTTTGTCACCCGGTCGCCGAGAAGTCAGGTTTCGCAACTACGCTAGCGACGCGCGCTTTCTGGACTATTTAACCCGATTTACTTGTGGACTATCTAACTCTACCTATCTCTGGACTACCCACCACCACTTCTCCTTCTTTTCCTTGATTGTGGCAAAAATCGCTAACATTCTTTTGCATTTTTCCACAGCATCTTCATACACGATTGTAATGAGCTCGTCAGTAGAAGCTATTATTAACAGTCAAGAGTTACCTCTCTTGGATAACACTTACGTCATCAAGGGAAATCTTTATGCTCCAAAATCTTTCGGTGACAAGGAAGAGGTCAGTGTCCTTTTTCTTTCTTTTGTCTGTGTCCTGCTTTGTGCCGCTCGACATCGCAGGATAACTTCCTAAAGTTTCTATTTTAACTTTGTACGCTCTGGTTGCTGGCATCATAGGTTTATTCTCATTAAGTGGCCAAACCATTTCAGTCTTTGTTAATCAAATAATTTTATTACCTGTGTTTTACCAAAAGTTCTTGTAATTTCTTCGTTTCTCATATGATCTAGCTTTGTTCACGGTCTCTCCAAAACATTTCATTTCGCAGGTGGTTAGCATTCTTTTGTGTTCTTCAGTCAACGTCTAAGTCCGACGCTGACAGTACATGGTTGGTTTGAAGATTACATTTATAACTTGTCTGATTGTCTCTATTTTTAAAATTGGGTTCTGTTAATATATGACATTGTTTGCTTGTTTTAATTCTGGCTTCAGTCTCTTTGTCTATTATGCCATAGACAGGAAATTATCCCTTTTGTAAAAATCACATTTAAGTAACTGTACTGACGAACGTATTTCAACCTTAGTGTCTTTCGTCTGTCACAAGTGATGAGGACAACTCTTTCTTTATTTGTAAAGAAAATGAAGTTGCTTTTCTGTGAGTCCGCAGATGACTTGTAAACCCAACACCGTCCTAGAAGCATATAAGACAGCGAGGGCAGGCATATGTGTCTGTCGGTAAAGGGCCCGTTAAACGGGTGTCTTCGATGTTCAGATACTTTTTTTTTCTAGATGCCTCGCAGGTCACTGCCTCTGTTAGACTGTGGATAGACGGTCGCTAAACAGTACTGTATTGTGCAGCAGTCTCCCAGGTGTCAGGATTTATATTAAAAGCTTTATCGTGTCCTTGTTTTCGGTCACTATGAGAGCGTATACTTTCTTGTATCTCACCATTAAATATTTTTTTTTTGGGGGGGGGGGGGGGGGGGGCGATATTCTGGCAAACGGACGAGGCGACCTGCACTTCGAATCTGTGACTGCATCCGGATGTCATGGATGCTTGAATGCCAGCACTATCCACTACAACAGTTTTTAGGACTCCGTCTTGCCGCTTGGTGTTCAGTATCTTTCTCAGACATACTGTGTGGAATAGTTGAGCGTCTTTGCATAGCGTCTGTATATTGTCCAAGTTTCACAAGCATCAGCAGCACTTTAAGCATTGTAGCACTTGAAGCACTGCAGCACTTGAAGCATTTAAAGCACCGCAGCACTTGAAGCACTGCAGCACTTGAAACACTGCAGCACTTGAAGCACTGCAGCACTTGAAGCACTGCAGCATTTGAAGCACTGCAGCATTTGAAGCACTGCAGCACTTGAAGCACTGCAGCACTTGAAACACTGCAGCACTTGAAGCACTGCAGCACTTGAAGCACTGCAGCACTTGAAGCACTGCAGCACTTGAAACACTGCAGCACTTGAAGCACTGCAGCACGTGAAGCACTGCAGCACTTAAAGCACTGCAGCACTTAAAGCACTGCAGCACTTGAAGCACTGCAGCACCTGAAGCACTGCAGCACTTGAAGCACTGCAGCACCTGAAGCACTGCAGCACTTGAAGCACTACAGCACTTGAAGCACTGCAGCACTTGAAGCACTGCAGCACTTGAAGCACTGTAGCACTTGAAGCACTGCAGCACTTGAAGCACTGCAGCACTTGAAGCACTGCAGCACTTGAAGCTCTGCAGCACTTGAAGCATTGCTTCTCTTTATATCTTCAGCTGCAAATTTAGGTTACCAACATCAGACTTTTCCATTAACCAAAGATCAAGAGAAAAAACTAACCACTCGTGAAACTATATACTTGAGAAAAGCTGCGAACAAAACCAGAAAAGGTTGTGTGATTATTCAACAGACTTGACGAACCACTTGAACAATGCCCCTTGTTAAACTAGCTGAGAAACAGAGATTGAAATGGTTCAGTCACCTAGTGAGGAATGGCTTGATCGCCAAGATGTTGACTAAATCACTCACCAAGTCCCGTATACCAAGTGTATCTATAAAAATTTTGAGTCTAGCATAATATGTCTGATGCCTAATAGACCTAAAAAGAGTCAGAGATTTTAGTGACTTCTTCTTCTTGACGTTCACGGCTGTAAACTCCAGCGAAAAGTTCTAGGTGCTTGTCACTCCTGGACTTTGGTCTTGATCCAGAACTTTCGTTTTGCGTGCACATCCATTTTATAGATCTGGCTTATTTGTATGTAGACTTTTGGTTCCTTGCCTCTCAAGCAGATGCCCTCAGACTTTGAGGAAAACTCACCTTAGTCGCCTTCTGTGACATGCTTGTAAGCGGACAGTGGGTCTATTCTTTATTCCCTAAAGTGGAGCCCTGGCACTCACACGGGGATTTACTTACTTTATATTAGTGTATTCCTTAACAAGAGATCAAACTACAACTTTTGGTATCATTTTCCAGGTTACCTTGCAAATGAAAAAGCAAAAAGGAACAAAATCGAGCATGGTATTCGCAGTATATGCCATCGACGATTACGGAAACAAGGGCGAGCTCTCCAACTTTGTCACGGTAGGGTTTAGATACGTACCAGATTTCAGCACAAAAGAGTATCTTAGCCAACCAGTGGACGCCTCTGAAACTGATGAGAAAGCTGCCCCAAAGAATCAGAAGATCGTAATCGCCTGTGTTGTAGGGCTTGCCGTTGCTTCACTAGTAGTTACAGTAATCGCAACAACGATAATTCATCTCTTTTGCACTAAAAACACACGGAAAGTTGTGTACAATACATTTTCTGATGCCAAAGACAGTAAGGTATGACTTGCAAGTGATCCAAAGCTTAGTATGTCATCATCATCATCATCATGTAGCAGGTCCCTTGTAGAACGTCGTTCTCATCAGAGTGCCTGAAAGAAACTCAATCTACCGCCACCTGTCCCGCCTCGTGCACTTTCCTAGTCAAGATATAACGTATGCCAAGTGCTCATCTTCGTGCTGGTCGGCCTCTGCCCCTCATCCTAGTACCATGCATTCTGGTATTTTTAAAATTTTTATTGTGGCGTTTGATGTGGATAAAATATTTTAATTTCGTGACAATTTGCTGTTTACTAGCTAATGTTCCGATCTTTTAGGACCCTTTTTGTCGGTGGTATTCTGAGAAATTTCTATTGCCTCTCACCTTAAATAGACCCCACCCCTTTATTACCCTTAAGGACTGCGAGATAGTACTTGGTATGTGCTTTCATACAATTCCATAATTCCAAGATACAAGAAGATTTATCCGATTTTTCTTTGACAGTTTAGTTATATATTGTGGCTTAGGTTGTTTTTAATTCTGTAACACCTGGTCTAATTAAGCTGCATGTATTAAAGAATGTTATAGGAAGCGATAATAGCTTTAAATCTCCCCCTCCCCATCCTTTTCCCCAATCTGTAGTAATGTTAAGAGATGAGATGTTAAAATTTGAAGAAAGTGTTATAATGCTAGGAGTTGATCAGTTATCATTTAACAAAAGATGAGTAATGCTAAAAGACAAAATCAGTTATCATTTAACTGTACTAGAAGCTAAACCTAAAATGTTATAATGTAGCGATAAGTTTAGTGATGCTGTGAGGAAAGATCAATGATAATTTAACCCAAAATGAGTATAGCTAAAAGACTAAATAATTTAACAAAAGGCTAGAAAGGCTGCAAGACGAAATCAATTATGATTTAACACAAGTTGAGTAACGCTAGGAAGTACCCTAATATAATTGTTTGAAACGGTTGAATGGAGTGTCTGGATGTTTTTCTCTGTTGGATTCACATTCTAATAGTTACTCGCTTAGTCACAATGTGTCTTTCATGAAACAATCCAGAAAAAATAAAAAATAAAATACAATAAATGTAAGTATTTTAGCTTATAAACTACGTAGTACTGAGTGTGTGCGTATCATGTTTTTCGTTTATTCCCCGTCTACAACATGATAGGAAATTCTTACACTGTGTACCAATAGATCAACTGTGTCGATCACTGTGACAAAAATGTGTAAATGCAATGACTTATTATGTATCCGGAGCTAAATCAGTTACCCATTACATATCAAAACCCGTAATTGTATTGACTCATTTTGTAACAAGCTTAGATCTGTGCTGAAGTGAATTGGTCAGCTAACCAGGCAGACTGCGCTACATTGGATCACAGGCCACTACAACATTAAGAGAAGTGAAAGAGCAGAAGTTTAAAAAGAAATTAAAATTGTAGACAACAGTCAGATACAGAATGCACTAATAAGGAAAATATAAACGAGATCAAGGCAATCATCAAAACCCATTGGAATAATTCCCACCCAGGACACAATCATGAAGATCCAATGAATCTTTCCACCGGACAGAAAAAGAGCATTATACTTAGATAGCATGTACACAACAGAATCTGCAGCCATATGTACATAATAGGGCTGTACCGAATATTCGCTTCGTATTCGCTTACACCCGTTTTTGCATACCCTGCGATGGACTAAAATAGCTATATCATTAACACAATAGTTTATGTTGCCTAAGTCTGTCGTAGCGGGGGAAACTGCGACCCGGTTGCGGGGTATAGCATTCAGTTTTAACAAATGGCTGTGAGTCCTGTACAATCGGTAGGCAGGCCAAACCATTTGTTGCGGCCTCAGAGATGTGGTTTTACAGAACAATGCTTAAAATACCTTTGACAGCAACAACAACAACAACAAAAAAACAAAAAAAAACCAGCTAAGAGATTTTGAAAGAGGCGGAAGCCCGAAGACAACTAATCACAGACATCAGATGGAGACAGCCATTATTTTTCGGCCATGTTATGAGAAGAGGGAAAATGAAACATGTGGTGACCACTGGAAAGATCTGTGGAAGGAAGGATAGATGAAGACAACGAGAGAAGATTCTTGACAGTCTTTTTGCATGGCATGATGGTGTGTCAGCACACGAACTAATACATGCTGCAGCAGATTGTTGCAAGGCCCCCGCCAGTCAACAAGGAACCTGATGATGATGCTGTTGATACACTATTCGTATTCGTCGAATGGTTTGACCCACTATTCGTATTCGGCCGAATAGTGAAAATCACTTTTCGGTACAGCCCTAGTACATACATTCAAGATCA